AATGAAGGGCCAGATGTATACAAAATGGTGTCGTCTGCGTAGAGGTGGATCTGAGAGTCACCAGCAGCAAGAGCGACATCATTGATATACACGGAGAAAAGTGTCGGCCCAAGAATTGAACCCTGTGGCACCCCCATAGAGACTGCCATAGGTCCAGACAACAGGCCCTCCGATTTGAGTGGGGTTATCTTAAGGCCTGATGCTAGCCGCTAGCCGATGTGATATGCTATCTAACTCAAATAAACCAGTAGAACTCCATGGGGATAATCAGGGTTTGCTGAACAGTGCCTGGAGAGAGACTGGCTGGAGCTCAGAGCGCTAAGCTAAGTGCCAACAGTGAGGCTAAGCAGGGCCATTCCCTGGGATCCTAGTGCTGTATATTTACCGAGCAAATTACAGAGTTAACCAAGGGCTAGCACGACTAAGCTCTCTGTAGGTTTAGTGTGGAAAGGGCATAGGGGCTCTGTGTGTTTGTGTGTGAGAGAGAGAGAGAGAGAGAGAGAGAGAGAGAGAGAGAGAGAGAGAGAGAGAGAGAGAGAGAGAGAGAGAGAGAGAGAGAGAGAGAGAGAGAGATGGGTGTGTGGGGGTGATGTGTGTGTAGGAAGAGGTATTAGGGGGCGAGGGAGGGGGTCTAAAAGTTCAAATATTGGTGGTGAGTAACTTCGCTAAGCCTTCACACCCTAAGGCTAATCACAGAGTCAAACCTCTCACAGTGACCCCCTCACACACCCAGATCTCTGGAGTCACCAGCCTTCATTCACCCAGCATAGAAACATAAAGTCAACATCACCTCAATGTGGGGCAGTCTGGGGTGAGGGCAGGGGTGAGGGAAGCTCTGTGTGTGCTTTAGTCTGGTTCGTCAAGTGAAGTAAAGTACCAAGTTAGCTACGGTGGTTTTGGGAAGACTCACCCAAATCAATTACCCCGAACAAGAAAAGTACTTTCCTCCCAAGTATGATTTCATGCAGCCTGGTCTCATTGACGAGACACTAAAATGTGTATGATATGTTACGTTTGGTATGGTTACAAAAGACAGAAGGTTACTTAAGGCATTAAGGCAAAAATACAGGGAGGATGGTTAGGTGGGCGTGTAAGTGGGTGTATAACATGAACGTCTAACAACCCAAAGGTTGCGTGTTTGAATCTCATCACGGACAACTTTAGCATTTTAGCTAATTAGCAACTTTGCAACTACTTACTACATTTGAGCTACTTTGCAACTACTTAGCATGTTAGCTAACCCTTCCCCTAACCCTTAACCGTAACCCTTTAACCTAACTCCTAACCCTAACCTTAAACCTAACCTTAACCCCTAACCCTAAACCCTAGCCCAGCTAATGTTAGCCACCTAGCCACCTAGCTAACATTTGCTACAACAAATTAGAATTCACAACATATCATACGTATTGCAAATTTGTAACATATTGTGTGAATTGCAATTAATTACATACAGTATCATACCAATTGTAATTCGTAACATATCATACGAATTGTAATTTGTAACAAATCATACGAAATGGATAATATAAATCCACAAATGAATACATACAATACCTTACCAAACATAATATACATTATACAGTGGGGAGAACAAGTATTTGATATACTGCAGATTTTGCAGGTTTTCCTACTTACAAAGCATGTAGAGGTCTGTCATTTTTATCATAGGTACACTTCAACTGTGAGAGATGGAATCTAAAACAAACATCCAGAAAATCACATTGTATTATTTTTAAGTAATTAATTTGCATTTTATTGCATGACATAAGTATTTGATACATCAGAAAAGCAGAACTTAATATTTGGTACAGAAACCTTTGTTTGCAATTACAGAGATCATACGTTTCCTGCAGGTCTTGACCAGGTTTGCACACACTGCAGCAGGGATTTTGGCCCACTCCTCCACACAGACCTTCTCCAGATCCTTCAGGTTTCAGGGCTGTCGCTGGGCAATACGGACTTTCAGCTCCCTCCAAAGATTTTCTATTGGGTTCAGGTCTGGAGACTGGCTAGGCCACTCCAGGACCTTGAGATGCTTCTTACGGAGCCACTCCTTAGTTGCCCTGGCTGTGTGTTTCGGGTCGTTGTCATGCTGGAAGACCCAGCCACAACCCATCTTCAATGCTCTTACTGAGGGAAGGAGGTTGTTGGCCAAGATCTCGCGATACATGGCCCCATCCATCCTCCCCTCAATACGGTGCAGTCGTCCTGTCCCCTTTGCAGAAAAGCATCCCCAAAGAATGATCTTTCCACCTCCATGCTTCACGGTTGGGATGGTGTTCTTGGGGTTGTACTCATCCTTCTTCTTCCTCCAAACACGGCGAGTGGAGTTTAGACCAAAAAGCTCTATTTTTTTCTCATCAGACCATTGGCATTGGCAAACTTCAGACGGGCCTGGACATGCGCTGGCTTGAGCAGGGGGACCTTGCGTGCGCTGCAGGATTTTAATCCATGACGGCGTAGTGTGTTACTAATGGTTTTCTTTGAGACTGTGGTCCCAGCTCTCTTGAGGTCATTGACCAGGTCCTGCAGTGTAGTTCTGGGCTGATCCCTCACCTTCGTCATGATCATTGATGCCCCACGAGGTGAGATCTTGCATGGAGCCCCAGACCGAGGATGATTGACCGTGATCTTGAACTTCTTCCATTTTCTAATAATTGCGCCAACAGTTGTTACCTTCTCACCAAGCTGCTTGCCTATTGTCCTGTAGCCCATCCCAGCCTTGTGCAGGTCTACAATTGTATCCCTGATGTCCTTACACAGCTCTCTGGTCTTGGCCATTGTGGAGAGGTTGGAGTCTGTTTGATTGAGTGTGTGGACAGGTGTCTTTTATACAGGTAACGAGTTCAAACAGGTGCAGTAAATACAGGTTATGAGTGGAGAACAGCTTCTTAAAGAAAAACTAACAGGTCTGTGAGAGCTGGAATTCTTACTGGTTGATAGGTGATCAAATACTTATGTCATGCAATAAAATGCAAATTAATTATTTAAAAATCATACAATGTGATTTTCTGGATTTTTGTTTTAGATTCCATCTCTCACAGTTGAAGTGTACCTATGATAAAAATTACAGACCTCTACATGCTTTGTAAGTAGGAAAACCTGCAAAATCGGCAGTGTATCAAATACTTGTTCTCCCCACTGTATATACAAATGTATGTGCACACCCCTTTAAATTTGTAGATTTGGCTTTTTGAGCCATACCCGTTGCTTTCAGGTGTATAAAATTGAGCACACAGCCATGCAATCTCTACAGACAAACATTGGCAGTAGAATGGCCTTACTGAAGAGCTCAGTGACTTTCAACGTGGGACCGTCATAGGATGCCACCTTTCCAACAAGTCAGTTCATCAAATTTCTGCCCTGCTAGAGCTGCTCCGGACAACTATAAGTGCTGTTATTGTGAAGTGGAAACGTCTCGACGCAACAATGGCTCAGCCGTGAAGTGGTAGGCCACACAAGCTCACAGAACGGGACCGCCGAGTGCTGAAGAACTTGACTGGCCTGCACAGAGCCCTGACCTGAACCCCATCGAGCACCTTTGTGAGGAATTAGAACGCTGACTGCTAGCCAGGCCTAATTGTCCAACATCAGTGCCTGACCTCACTAATGGTCTTGTGGCTGAATGGAAGCAAGTCCCCGTAAAAATGTTCCAATACCTAGTGGAAAGCCTTCCCAGAAGAGTGGTGGCTGTTATAGCAGCAAAGGTGGGACCAACTCCATATTAATGCCCATGGTTTTGGAATGAGATGTTCAACAAGCAGGTGTCCACATACTTTTGGGCATGTAGTGTATCATACTAATTTGAGTGTCCTGGATTTTTGTTTACTTTGTTACATCTACCCCTGTGTCCAGGTTGTTTATTACATATTTTGGTCATGTAGGTGGTGCATAACATAAAGTTTCTAACTGCATTTGAACTATGGAGAGATTAGACTAGGTTAGAGACAGGTGAACGGATATTGTGAAAACATGCATACATACCTCTCACTGGTCTGGCTCTGAAGCTCAGCTCTCACTCTAGAAGAAAGTATTCATGGATGAGCAGGAGATATTCAGGGGTGGAGGGCAGGTGCTGTGGTATCTGGATTAGTTTATGGATGTATGGGAGCTATTCAGAAGGCTTTCCCCTCTGGAACTCAAACTGTAACTTTGATCAGGGTCTAATCTAAACCTAGTCTTGACAGACATGTGACCTCAGTTTAATGGTCAGGTTTAACCATTTGGAGATTTAGTGAAGATGATGATTGATGGTGTATAGGTATGGATATGTTGGGGTGACAGAGATCTATTACAATGGTGATGGTGGGTTATTGATAGTGATGCAGGTATGGAGGTGACTGAGGACAAACCCACTCTTCCTCATCTCCTTCTCCATCTACAGCCAGTCAGTAACACTGTGGGTTGAGGTCACTTTATCCTGGCATCTTTAACACTGTCACTGTATGAAGATTAAACCCACTGTAATATCTCATTATACCCTTATTGTAATGTGAGTGTAGCGTGCCCATGCATTAGCTTCTCTTTCTGTCAGTCTAAAGTCTAAAGTCTATCTGTGTGTGTAGGAGAGGTGATGAGCCATATGACCAACACTCTCTCTCTCACACACATGCACAGACACACACACAAACACACACACACACGCATGCACACACAGAAGGATTTTCAGTCTCTCTTCATTCAGTTAAGATGTTGAATTGTGAGACAAGCGATTAGAAAGTTTCAGCTCATGCCAAGACACGCAGACATCCATCACCTGTTTCAACACAACCTGTCTCTCTCTATAAAATGTCTCTCCAAACTATGCTCATAGTTTCCAGGTTCATTAAGCTAAGTGTATTCTATGAATTCTTGACGTAACAAACCAAACTTCTTCCATGCATCAGAATATGTGTATGAAAGTCGCATGCATGCCTGTGTGTGTTTTGACCCTAACTCTCTCTCTCTCTCGCTCTCTCTCTCTCTCTCTCTCTCTCTCTCTCTCACTCTCTCTCTCAGAGCTGGTCCAGGGTGGTAGTGTATCAGTGTTCCTGAGTCCTACTGATGGTCTCCATTCCCACTCTGTGTTGTTGGATGAGGAGAGAGGCAGGCTGCTGCTGGGAACCAGAGACTCAGTTTACCTACTGGACCCTGACCACCTCAGTAGAGCCCCCAGGAAGGTATGCTACACCTGCAACCCTTCTGGAGAGCAACTTTTTACTTTAATTATGCAGGGAATTTGGGGGGCGCAATCTTTATCCAAATAGCTAGATAAATGTAATTGTGTGGGAAAGGACAATGTAAAAATAAAAATATCTAAGCCAACACAGTATAATTTGGCATGATTATGCGAAAAAGGGTATGAGCCGGACCTATTGGAGACAGTATAGTATCTCTCTCCAGCAGAAGGAAGGAAAGCCCTGGGCAGAACTCAAGTCTTAACAGCTGACTAGCTATAACCCCATGCAGACACAAACTGTCACTCCTCAGACATGCACACTCATGCATGGAATCACCCAACTCTCTCCAATAGGCTCCAATAGGCTCAGCTACAGTGCCTATCGGTTGGAAGTCCACACCCCCTTGAACTCTTTTCACATTTTGTTGCGTTACAAAGTGGGATTGAAATAGATTTCATTGTATTTTTTTTCATTGATCTACACAAAATATTCCATAATGTCAAAGTGAAAAGAAAATTCTACAAATTTTACAAAAATGAAATAATAGGGGTTAACATAATTTTGGAATGGCTACCACTTCCCCATATATACAACATCTGTAAGGTCCATTAGTCAAGTATTGAATTTCAAGCACAGATTCAACTACAAAGACGGACAGTGATTGGTAGATGTGTAACAATAACAAATCAGACATTGAATATCTCTTTAGTATCTCTTTAAGCATGGTCAAGTTAATAATTATGCTGTGGATGATGTATTAAACCAACCAGACCCATCAAAGATACAGTCGTCCTTCTGAACTGAACTGTAGGACAGGAAGGAAACTGCTTAGGGATGTCACCATGAGGCCATTGGTGATTTTAAAACAGCTAAAGAGTTAAATGGCTGTGATGGGAGAAAACTGAGGATGGATCAACAGCATTGTAGTGACTCCACAATAATGACCTAAATGACAGAGTGAAAATAATAATAAAAATATACAGACTAAAATATTCCAAAACATGCGTTTGCAACAAGGCACTAAAGTAATGCAAAAACAATACAAAAACACAGCAAAGGAATACACTTTTTGGCCTAAATGCAAAGCCTTACGTTTGGGGCAAATCCAGCACGATACATCACTGAGGAACTGCCTTCATATTTTCTAGCATGGTGGTGGCTGCATCATGGTTTGTGTATGCTTGACATCAGCAAATAGTGGGGAGATTTCCAGGATAAGAAGAAACGGGATAGAGCTAAGCACAGGCAAAATCCTAGAGGAAAACCTTGTTCAATCTGCTTTACACCAGACACTCCGAGAAGAATTCACCTTTCAGCAGGACAATAACCTACTACACAAAGCCAAATCTACACTGGAGTTGTTAACCAAGAAGACCGTGAATGTTCCTGAGTGGCCAAGTTACAGTGTTGACTTAAATCTGCATGGAAATCTATGGCAAGACTTGAACATTGCTGTCTAGCCATGATCCCCAACACCTTAACAGAGATAAAATAATTTTGAAAAGAATAATGGGCAAATATTGCAAAATACAGGTGTGCAAAGCTCTTATTAGACTTACCCAAGAAGACTCACAGCTGTAATCACTGCTAAAGGTGTGTTTTATTGACTCAGGGGGGTGAATACATAACTAATCAAGGTATATTAGTGTTTTATTTTTCATTCATCTTTAAAACATGTTGGAATTTTTCTTCCACTTTGACATTACAGAGTATTTTGTGTAGCTTGTTGACAACAAATTACTATTAAATTCATTTTAATCCCACTTTGTAACACAATAAAATGTGAAGAAATCCAAGGGGGGTGTAGACTGTCTATAGGCACTTGGTATGTTCCATGGACTCATTACTAGATACTAGATTTAGTTTCCCATCATTATATCTGTCATTTAGGCAGTCATTTAAACCTGACTGTGCTTGTGCTGCATATCTTCCACCTGACTACTGACACAGCTATGTGGATTGGATCTGTGAGGAATGCTGCGTAATCAGTGATGTATTGTAGTGGTGGGCAGAGGTTGTAGAGTGGATGGAATTAGCACCAGTCAGTTAACAGGGTGCTCTGTCTGTCTATCAGACTACCTGCTGACCTTGACTTTGACCTAGACCACACACGTGCGCACACACGTGTACGCGCACACACACAGCTGCAAATGGGACACATACACTCAGTATATAAAACATGATATAGACTGACCAGGTGAATCCAGTTGAAAGCTATGATCCCTTATTGATGTCACTTGTTAAATCCACTGCAATCAGTGTAGATGAAGGGGAGGAGACAGGTTAAAGAAGGATTTTTAAGACTTGAGACAATTGAGACATGGATTGTGTGTGTGTGCAAGACGAACGGGGTATGGTAGTAGGTGCCAGGCACACCGGTTTGTGTCAAGAACTGCAACGCTGCTGGGTTTTTCACGCTCAACAGTTTCCTGTGTGTATCAAGAATGGTCCACCACCCAAGGACATCTAGCCAATTTGACACAACTGTGGGAAGCATTGGAGTCAACATGGAGCGCTTTCATCCCTGTGGAACGCTTTCATCACCTTGTAGAGTCCATGCCCCGATGAGTTAAGGCTGTTCTGAGCAACTCAATATTATGAAGGTGTTCCTAATGTTTGGTATACTCAGTGTAGATTTGAGGTTGTAGAAGCGAGTGTGTGTTTATGCAGGTGTGGTTGATCCCTGCGCGAGACCGAGTTAAGTTTATTTGATCTTTATATCTCGTTGTTGTAAGCCTGAGTGGTGCTTTCTAACTGTTGATTTCTGGTCATTGATACTAATGCTTGCCAGATAGTTAGACTAGATTATTCTGTGGTAGAGCTGTGTGAATATGAGTATACAAAACATTAAGAACACCTGCTCTTTCCATGACATAGACTGACCAGCTGAATCCAGGTGAAAACTATGATCACTTAATAATATCACTTGCCCTGACGAATTGAGGCTGCTCTGAGGTCAAAATGTTTGGTATACTCAGTGTATATCTAGGAATAAGATAGACAGAAAATTAGACACACATTCACAGGTGTGTCTCATTTTCCTTAGTTTGTAACACATCTTACTGTCCTATTTCAACTGGTAAGAACCGGATATTTACAACTATGACTACATTGAAATTGCACTATAGGTACAATTGAATTCAACATAATCCTTACTTACCTGCGACAAATGGTACCTGTTGCAAAAATGGTACCTATTACAATGAATTCCAAAGTTACCAACAAGTAACCACATGATATGCCAAGTTCTAAGTGAATACCAGGTACATTGCAGATTGTGAAATCAAGTGTGACCCAATCATCCCATTGTGAAACGAAAGCATTGATTGATTGGTGGTATAGGATTTATGTTACTGGAATTCTCAAATCCAGCTCAAGCCAAAATCCTCTCACGTGCCCAGACCTGTAATGTACTATACTGTGTACTTAATATGTCATATCAGAAGACTTGTTGTATGAATTCAATGGAGCGAGGCAGTATTATAGAATCCTAATACGCTGACGGAGGTATGTGTATATGCGCGTGTGGGGGGATGTGTGGAGTCTGTGTAACCCCAGTGATGGCGCTCATTGGTAGTGGGTTAGGGGTGAACATGCTAAGAACATAAGCCAGTTATAACATGTGTGAACATCGGCTACATTACATACAAGGGACACAGAACATTATCCCCCCTTAAGATCACTGTTAAGACAGACTGATTCCTGTCTAATTGACATAAGTTTCCTACTCTCAGGGTTTTGTGCGTTATGCTTTGTTCTTATGTGTTGAGTTGTGTGGTTCTAATGCAGGATCAGTGGTATTGTTTGTAGTGTGTTGTATGTCATGTAAACCTCCCTGTCCATCTATTCCCAGATCAGCTGGCCAGCCCCCAGAGACAGAGTGGAGATGTGTAAACTGGCCGGCAAGAATGCTCATGTGAGTACAATCTGGAAAAAGCCTGAAGCCTTGTTTCATTCACATTGACAATACAATCACGGTTCCTTTCTTCTTACTCTCAGTTGGAGTGTGGCAATTTTGTGCGTGTGCTCCACAACTATAACCGCACCCATCTGTACACCTGTGGGACAGGAGCCTTCCACCCCATGTGTGCCTTCATTGAGATCTCAGGACGCAGAGAGGTAGAGTCGGAGAGAACACACACACACACACACACACACACACAACACACACTGCTTACTTACACAGTCTTTCTCTCTTTCTCGCTCTCTCTCTCCTTCTCTTCAGGAGGGTGTGTTCCAGTTGTTGTCCGGTACAGTGGAGTCTGGGAGGCTGAAATGTCCTTACGACCCCTTGCAACCTTTCACCTCTGTACTCACAGGTCAGACTATGCCCCATCATAATGTCCTATTTTTACTACCCTAGACCTTCTGATGGTATCTCAGCCCCACCCTGACACCATTCTACACCCACATTCAGCCCTAACTCCTTCTCGCTCCTGTCCTGGTGTTCAAAACCCCTCTACAAAACCCTCATCATGTACGCTCGCACTCTCTGTGTGTGTGTTGTTATGATGAGGTAAGAAAGACATTGTCATCTCCTAAGCCAAATCCTAATTTATCTGAAATATTTTTGTCAAGGCTAGATTCATTGAAACATGTTTGCTCCACATATCTTCTTTCAGAAATCTGGTTACAAAAACCCCTCACTTCATGCCAAAGAATGTCATATCACTGAAAGCATGATGCACAATTTAGAGAGATTGACTTTGTGTTTGTTCAGGTTTGCTTTCTTGCTTTTTATCAGAGTTGGGCTGGCTACTCTAATAGGTTCACATTTACAGTTTTACTTGACCCTCATCATCACTGGTCCAGGCCTAACCCTCCTTGTGTCTGATTGGTTGCAGACCAATTCCTGTATGCGGGCACAGCATCAGACTTCCTGGGTAAAGACACAATGTTCACCCGCTCCCTGGGCCCGCCCCCCGACCAGCACTATATACGCACTGACATCTCAGAGGACTACTGGATCAACGGTACACACACACATACACACACATACACACACACACGCACACACATGCACGCACACACACGCGCACACACACACACACACACACACACACACACACACACACACACACACACACACACACACACACACACACACACACACACACACACACACACACACACACACACACACACACACACATTGTAAATACTTCATTTGAATCCACAAATCACATTACATCTTAAAGGATTCAAACATTTCAAAGGTCGTTGAAGATGCACTATGCAGAAATCTATGCAGAAATCGCTCCAGCATTTCCTGGTTGCTAAAATTCTAGTAGTTTGCCTAATTTCAGGTTATGTGCCAACATAAGCAAGTATAGTGTAGAGAATCATTGTACCATCTACACCGTTGTGAAATATATTTTCTATAACGAAAAATATTGTATTTTCAGCTGTTTGAAGCTGGTGTACAAAACCGAAAGTAAAAGACGCAAAAACTAAACTTAAGAATGGTAGTCATAGAAAAGGTGCACATAGAACCGATGCACCGCTTCTTAGGCTTGCTTTCAATGACAAAGACAGATCTATAACTCTATTTCTATGTGAATTTGGTCGGGTCGCCCAAAAAGTTACATATTGCAGCTTTAAGGAAACAAAAAGCACCTTCTCCTCCACACAGCTAGGCTGCCCATAATGGCTGAAACAGAGCAGTACCTAGCCAGTTGATTTGCTCTACCCTTAAGCAGGCCTGTAATCTAAAGGCCACGTACCATAAGCCTATGTACGTGGCCGAGACTGCCAAATATCAATGCCACCAACTTGCATTTGTATCCCAGGCTGTCCAAGCATGATATGAGGGGCTGGTATTTAAAGGTGCTACACATAGTATTTTTTTGCATTTTTGCATTGTAATTTCAGAAAATGTCCATAATATATCTGCAGTAATAGTACAATTATAGTGTTTCACAGTATTACTTATCCGCCAGTGTTGTGATTGGCTGTGATATTCGCCTATTGATTTCTCCCACCGGGTCGTCATCTTTTGTCAAAATGGGAAAGCTGTTTTGACTTTGTTGCTGTGTTATCTAGTGGATATCGGGTCAAGTGGCCAATGTAGATATCTCTCTGTCATTTCCTGGTTGCTAATATTCTACACTGTTCACTACAGTTTCAGTTTATGTGAGAAAACAAGCACTGAATAGTGTTGGGAATCATTGTACCATCTAAATCGCTGTGAAATAAATAGACAAAACAATATCACAAGGCCTTACTTTGATGGCCTAGTTTTACCCTAACACAGTGGTGTTAGGAAACTCCTGGTTTACATGCCACATCAGGCCTGCAAGTCACATTAAGCTGGCTTGCAAAGTGATGTGTAAATCCTATTGGAATCCAGCCAGAGTTAGGATATCCAACAGTTCATTCACCAGCAACCTTCATTCAGAATGACTGTCAGGGTTAGGAAAGTTGAAAAGGAGACTACCTAAACCATTTAAACTGGAACAACCATTTCAGTAACAAGTGCAATACATCTAACTAACTGATTGGATTGGTTTAGAAAAATGTATGTTATTTATCTTTGTGTAACATAAGATTAATCAATCAATCAATGTACATGCAAAAACACCGATATTAAAACAATCCTAAAATAAAATTGACCTGCAGTAGAGCATGCTGGAAAATATGATAATGATGGGAGTGGCTTTGATGGGACTGTTTTACTCTCGAATGTGTAAAACAATAACTCTGGTTATTAACACCAACACTGGGGGTTATTTTACACCACTGAGTGTTAATTTCACTCTTACAGAGTGAATGTAACTCCTGAATCAACACAAGAAATGTTACACTGAAAAATCAACACTGGCCAATTTGCTGTGCACACACACAACATACACACACACAAACACACACACACGTATTGTAGAGCTGTGAATTATGAGTTTGTAGAGCCATTCATGGTGGCATGACATTATATCTCAGTAACTGTTGGCCTGGTTCTTTTGAATACATCCTTCCTCTCAGTCTCGGTACATAAGGCTTGGTTGAAGCAGGTGAGTTCAATCATAGGATAGTTTTGCCATTGAGTGTTTCACTTCCCAGTCTTTCCATTGATACACAGAGCTGTTTTGTGTTCTCAGGGTGGGCTTGAGTGAGGTAATTGGCATTCCTGCCCAAAGCAAACAGTCCAGTTATTCATTTATGACTTTTACATGAGTTCCACACTAAAGACAGCACACCTACTGTACAGGGCATGCATACTGTACCTACTAGGGGATTTACAGTATGTCACAATTCACAGGTCCCTGGTCTACATACACACACTACAAGCACTATTCTATGATACACGCTCCTCTCCATCTATTCTATGAATCACTCTCGTGTACGTTTGTCATGGATCAACAGATGTCACCAGTTTCCAACTCCTGTCACCACATTTCAGAGCCAGGGGCGGGGTGTGAGTGAGATCTCTGGAGGCGTGCTGTCACTGTGTGTGTGTGCGTGCGTGTGCATGTGTGTGTGTCAGGGGTTCTGGAACATCTTACCAAACGTACAGTAACAGTGACTATGTGTAGTGTGTGTGAGCAGGCCTACATTAGACTATTTTAAGGAATCTCCCCAGAGGCTTCGGTTAGTTTCCAGGGTTGATATCATGTTACCGTAACACTCAGATCACGGCCACAGACTCTTTCTTTCTTTCTTTCTTTCTCTCTCTCTCTGTCTCGTTCCTTTCCTCTGTTCCATGGCTCTGTCTGGAGGTATTTTAATGTTCATAAATCAGGGTGCTCAGAGGAGACTGAGGCGCGTGTTAACTCTAACTTCTAAAAGACGCTCCGCTGTGTCCATAGGGTCAGGCAGGAAATGAACAATGTTGCTTTTATAACTCTCTCTCTCTCTCTCTCTCTCTCTCTCTCTCTCTCTCTCTCTCTCTCTCTCTCTCTCTCTCTCTCTCTCTCTCTCTCTCTCTCTCTCTCTCTCTCTCTCTCTCTCTCTCTCTCTCTCTCACTCTAGAGGCCAGGTTTATATCAGCTCACCCTGTGTCCGATACCTACAACCCTGACGATGACAAAATCTACTTCTTCTTCCGAGAGTCATCACGCGACAGGAGCGATAAGAGTGTCCTGTCCCGCGTAGCACGCGTCTGCAAGGTGAGAGAGGGGAGAGGTGTAGAAGGGTGAAAGAATGAAGGTGAAGAGTGAGGGATGGTTTGGGGAGAGGTCAGGGAAGGGGTGAAGAGGAGGACAGCCATCTAACAGGGCGCATGTACAGTGATAGATCTGTGTCCACTACTATAGTGCTAGCTTCTCCCACAGATATGCTTAAACCTCCCTGGGAGGATACATCCTGGTACATTCCTTTGTGTAGTCTGCTGACAGAGGAGCGGACCACTGCTGTCAAAGAGGGTAAATCATAGTTCAACCTCTCTTTGTGTCTGGCTGACAGGGCAGCCTAATGTCTCGTCCCAGTTGAGGTGTATGAATTAAGGATGCCCTTACAAAAAAATTAAAATAAAAACGACAACGTGAAAAAAACACGTAAATAGTCCGGATGGCCATTTGATGAAAAGTTCAGCAGTCTTATGGCTTGGGGGTAGAAGCTGTTAAGGAGCCTTCTGGACCTAGACTTGGCGCTCCGGTACCGCTTGCCCTGCAGTAGCAGAGAGAACAGTCTATGACTTGGGTGACTGGAGTCTTTGAAAAAATTTTGGGCCTTCCTCTGACATTGTCTAGTATATAGGTCCTGGATGTCAGGAAGCTTGGACCGAGTGATGTACTGGGCCGTACGCACTACACTCTGTAGTGCATTACGGTCAGATGCCGAGCAGTTGCCATACCAGACAGTGATGCAACCGGTCAGGATGCGCTCGATGGTGGAGCTGTAGAACTTATTGAGGATCTGGGGACCCATGCCAAATCTTTTCAGTCTCCTGAGGGGAAAAAGGTGTTGTCGTGCCCTCTTCACGACTGTCTTGGTGTGTTTGGACCATGATAGTTTGTTGGTAACGTGGACACCAAGGAACTTGAAACTCTTGACCCTCTCCACTACAGCCCCGTAGATGTTAATGGGGGCCTGTTCGGCCCTCCTTTTCCTGAAGTCCACGATCAACTCCTTTGTCTTGCTCACATTGAGGGAGACGTTGTTGTCCTGGCAACACACTGTCAGGTCTCTGACCTCCTCCCTGTAGGCTGTCTCATGGTTGTCGGTGATCAGGCCTACCACTGTTGTTTAGTCAGCGAACTTAATGATGGTGTTGGAGTCGTGCTTGGCCACGCAGTCGTGGGTGAACAGGGAGTACAGGAGCGGACTAAGCACACACCCCTGAGGGGCCCCAGTGTTGAGGATCAACATGGCAGATGTGTTGTTGCCCACCCTTACCACCTGGGGGCGGCCCATCAGGAAGTCCAGGATCCAGCTGCAGAGGGAGGTGTTTAGTCCAGGGGCCTTAGCTTAGTGATAAGCTTTGTGGGCACTATGGTGTTGAACGCTGAGCTGTAGTCAATGAACAGCATTCTCAAATAGGTGTTCCTTTTGTCCAGGTGGGAAAGGGCAGTGTGGAGTGCGATTGAGATTACGTCATCTGTGGATCTGTTGGGGCGGTAAGCAAATTGGAGTTGGTCTAGGGTTTCCGGTATGATGGGGTTGATGTGAGTCAACAAAGCACTTCATGGCTACCGACGTGAGTGCTATGGGGCGGTAGTCATTTAGGCAGGTTAGCTTCGCTTTATTGGTCTGCTTGAAACATGTAGGTATTACAGACTCGGTCAGGGAGAGCTTGAAAATGTCAGTGAAGACACTTGCCAGTAGGTCCGCGCATGCTCTGAGTACACGTCCTGGTAATCTGTCTGGCCATGCAGCCTTGTGAATGTTGACCTGTTTAAAGGTCTTGCTCACATTAGCTACGGAGAGCATGATCACACAGTCATCCGGAACAGCTGGTGTTCTCATGCATGCTTCAGTGTTGCTTGCCTCAAAGCGAGCATAAAAGGCATTTAGCTTGTCTGGTAGGCTCGCGTCACTGGGCAGCTCGCGGCTAGGTTTCCTTTGTAGTCCGTAATAGTTTGCAAGCCCTGCCACATCTGACGAGCGTCAGAGCCGGTGTAGTAGGATTCAATCTTAGTCCTGTATTGACGCATTGCCTGTTTGATGGTTCATCTGAGGGCATAGCGGGATTTCTTACAAGCGTCAGGAATTTCTTATACACTACCTGTCAAAAGTTTGGACACTTCATTCAAGGGTTTTTGTTTATTTAAAAAAATGTTTACATTGTAGAATAATAGTGAAGACATCAAAACTATGAAATAACACATATAGAATCATGTAGTAACCAAAAAAGTGTTAAACAAATCAAAATATATTTTATATTTGAGGTTCTTCAAATAGCCACCCTTTGCCTTGATGACAGCTTTGCAAATTCTTGGCATTCTCTCAACCAGCTTCACCTGGAATGCTTTTCCAACAGTCTTGAAGGAGTTCCCACATATGCTGAGCACTTGTTGGCTGCTTTTCCTTCACTCTGACATTGGTGTAAATGTGGAGTTTTCTTATTTGTGAAACTGCAAATTAGAATTGCAAGTTCAGATTTGAAAAACAATGACGTTAAAGCTTTTCACATATGAAACTGCAAATTAGATTTTTACACTTGTAATTCCGCATGTGAAAGTGAGATTTTCATGTGTTGTTTTACATGTGAAAAAGGCAAATGTGATTTTTACATGTGAATGTTTTTCACTAGTAAAACCGCATATCCGATACTCACGTGAACGTTTTTAACGTGAAACCCCACATTTCACATATGGAACTGCAATTCACATGTTATTCTCCTCACGTGTAAAGGTGGTGTTAACATGTGAACTCAAAATGTAATACATGTGAAAATATGGTTTCACTAGCTAAATTGAAGCTCAACATGTGAAAACAGCTATTTCTTTGTAAGGGTGACAGTAGGAGAGTTGGTCCAGTCCCATGTTGGTCCTGCCCCTACTCTAGCCCCCTACCCATTCTTTAGGTTCTACCTCTATCCCTAGCCCCTACCCGTAGCTCTTATTCCTTCCATGTTCACAGTTCTGAAGGAGCTGAATTAGTGAAGCGATACAGCATAAGCTCTACTCAGGCTTGTTGGGGGCTAGATGGAGACTACAGCCATAGAAATAGAATCTAATTCTACACTGTAAAAAAAATCCTGTTGTTTTTATGGTAACTTATTGGCAGCCAGTTACCTGTAAGTTACAATAAAAAAGGTACAGTATGTTACTGTAAATTCCAAACGTTGGTTTAACATCGAAAATAGAAAGAAAAGTAAAAAAATACATATATTTTATTCCAATTTTTTTATGAATATCGCTAGCAACAACAGAATAAACACATTTTGAATTACACTAATTGGAGCCAATTACACTGGTGTATCTGACATAGGCTTTGAAAAAGCACCCGCAAATAGGCTACCAGTGCGGCAAGTGCGGCAAGTGGTAAGCTTTCTTGACTTGAACAATCCTTTTTGCCAAAACATGGCTAACCTTTGTTTAACCAGCTAAACAGCTGCTCTTAGAAAAAATTTGTTTGGAGTTACCTTTCTGTATAATAGGCTATGTTAGAGTGTACACTTCCTCCAATTATAATCTACCAAATCTATTCATTTTAAAATGTTGATTATTCTCCTTACCATTATCATTCACCTGATGTTAATACAAGACCAGATTTTTTTTATTTTTTGTTAATATATGATGGGGGTCCCTGTGCTGCCATTTGCCTGGGAGGGGGTCCCTGGGCAAGAAAAAGTTGAAGACCGCTGCTGTAAAGTTTTCAGTAATGTACTGTTAAGCCAAATTTTATTTGGAATTTACGGTAACATACTGTACCTTTTTTTTTTACAGTAACTCACAGGTAACTGGTAAGTTATCGTAAAATCAACAGGAGTTTTTTTTACAGTGTAGTTCTGTGACTACAGCAGGTTGGTTAGTTGAATCAGGTGTTTTACTTCTTGGCTTGAACAAAAGTATGCACCCACACGTGCTATTGGAAGCTCCTGGCCACTGCTGGACGAAGAGATTCAGTTTCAGTTCCCAGCTATGTGAGGTTTGGTATTTTTTGGTAGTAGGGAGACTGTCCCTGTACTGCGTTATGTCGCCACATCTTCCCAAAATAAAAAGTCCAAGCTCTATTGCCAAATTCCCAGTTACAGGCACTTGGAGTGTTTATGACTTGGGAGTAAGCTTTAAGGCCGGCGAGGCAGGAGAGGCAGGAGAGGGATTCCTTTTCCTGTGTCTACAGCTGACCATAGAGGGGTTCCTCCCTGGATAAGTGGAATAACAGAGCTTCATTTGAAGATAATCCCATTTAGAAAACGCTAAAGCCATTATCCTAACTCTTTCTATAATTGTGTGTCTATTTAAGATAGTCTTCGGGCCAAGTTCAATAGGGAGGTTAGTCTAGGGCCCTTGTGCTGGATAAAGGGGCCCTGTACTTGAGATGTATACTTGAGTACTCCTGCCCTAGCCCAGAGAACGGCACTTTTTATTGAGAAGAGCACTCAGTCAGGGGTATACATATGCTAATTAGAATCTCTGCATAATTAATGAGCTTGCTAGTTTACCTTCAATTATTCTTCCCTCCTCTTTCTATTTCTTTTGTTTTATTTCTCTCCTTTTTTTCTGGCTTCAATTCCTCCTTCGTACTGTTATTCTTGTTCTACTAAATCCCTCTACCATATTCTCTCCTCCTTGTCAGTAATTTGCTTCTTCAGTCCTCTCTCCCTCTTTTGTCAGTTTATTCTGACTGCCGTCATCATTACCGTTAATGAGCAGGCCTCATTCCTCTGCCAGTTAAATAATCACATTTAACCAGGTACATGTGTCTGTCTTTATCTGGGTTTATTTAAACTAGTCTCAAACAGGAGTTTAAGATGTCAAGGTCTGTAAAAAGGTGTGCTGTTGTGTTATGCTTAATATGTCAGGTCTTTGGACTAGACTATGGTTGTTTCATGGTTTTAAACCTGATTTCAGTTGTATTTGTGTGTCAGACTATGATTGTGTTATGGTTGTGTTGTGGTTGTGTTTCAGAATGACGTGGGAGGGTTGAGGAGTCTGACCAATAAGTGGACGACTTTCCTCAAAGCCAGACTGGTGTGTTCCATCCCTGGACCTGAAGGAGTGGACACACACTTTGACGAGCTCCGTAAGACACAAACACACACGCACACCTGACACGCTTCCATGTTTACACACACACAACACATGCGCACTAAATGCCACATTCTTACCTTTTGTGTTTGTGTCTGTGTGCGGTGTGTGTGTGTGTGTTGTAGAGGACATATTCATGCTTCCCACTAGAGATGAGAAGAACCCTGTAGTGTATGGAATCTTCACCACCTCCAGGTAAAATTACACTTAGTACACCATACCTTACACCAGTGTTTCCCAACTCCAGTCCTCCAGTACCCTCTACAGCACACATTTTTGTTGTAGCCCCAGACAAACTCACCTGATTTAACTCATGGAGGGCTTGATGATTAGTTGACAAGTTGAATCAGGTATACTTGTCCGGGGCAACAACAAAAATGTGTACTGTTGGGGGTACTGGAGGACTGGAGTCGGGAAACACTGCCTTACACCATACCTTACTGAGACATCTCTCTACCGCTCCGCTTATTTCTCCCACTATAATATACTTATTACACTGTACTGTGTTACTCCCCCAGCTCTGTGTTCCGTGGCTCGGCGGTGTGTGTGTACAGCATGGCTGACATACGAGCTGTGTTCAACGGACCCTACGCTCACAAGGAAGGACCTGACCATCGCTGGGTAGAATATGAGGGGAGAATACCTTACCCTCGCCCTGGAACGGTACACAAACAAACACGCTCATCTCTGCTAACCCTACCCCGCTCCATTTCCCTCCTGCCTGAAAGCTGACTGCATATTGTTTCTGTTCAGGATAATTTGGAAATACCCTCCTCTTAAATGGCTTACGATATGACCCAATCCTGATATATGACACAGTCCTGATTAACAATAATAAATACCTATCTATTGCATGTGCCTGTGCGCATAATTAATTAATAGTCTGTGAGAGTGTGTGACAGAAGTCAACGTTTATATGTGAAACCATGCAAGTGTTTGTGTGTGTGTGTGTGAGGTTGTGTGATATATGACCCAGTCTCTGTCTTGATGAACAATAATAAACGTCAGTCTGGGAGGCAGCTTTGATGATGTCACTAAGTCGTCACGGTGATCACCGCCGTATGTGTCCTGTTCCACAGTGTTTGTAGAACTGATTAGCATGAGGTACTGTGACTGGTGTGTGTGTGTGTGTGTGTGTGTGTGTGTGTGTGTGTGTGTGTGTGTGTGCAGGTGGACGTTTATTGGGATGAGTCTTGTCCTTGAGGCAGAACTGAGTGATTTCTGTTAGATGGGCCAGCTGCAAAGAAAAAATTGGCTATATTGTAAAAATTCATTTAAGGTTAAGGTTAAGCATTAGGGTGAGTAGCGTGGTTAAGATTAGGGTTAAGGTTAGGGTTAGGTTTAAAATCTGATTTTATGACATTGTGTGGCTCAGTTGGTAGAACATGGCACTTGCAATGCCAGGGTTGTGGGTTCGATTCCCACGGGAGACCAGTAAAAATGAAAATATATCAACTCACTACTGTAAGTCTCCCTGGATGAGCGTCTGCTAAATGACAAACATTTTTAATTGTGGCTGTGCCAGCTAGTGACTTCTCGGCAGAGCTGCCTCCAGAACAAGATTCATGATGAAAAACACTAACCCGCTATGGACATGTTTAACTATACTTGTGGGGACCAGAATGCCCCACAAGAATAGTAAACAAACAAAACATTTGACCAACTGGGGACATTTTGTCAGTCCCCACAAGGAAAAATGCTATTTCTATGGGGTTTGGGGTTAAGGTTAGAATTAGGGTTAGGGTTAGAATTAGTGTTACGGTTAGGGTTAGGTTTAGGGGTTAGGGAAAATAGGATTTTGAATGGGAATTCATTTTATGTCCCCACAAGGTTAGTTAAACAAGATTGTGTGTGTGTGTGTGCTTTACGTGTGTGTGTGTGTGTGTGTGTGTGAGAGAGAGAGAGAGAGAGAGAGAGAGAGAGAGAGAGAGAGAGAGAGAGAGAGAGAGAGAGAGAGAGAGAGAGAGAGAGAGAGAGAGAGAGAGAGAGAGAGAGAGAGAGAGAATCCAGAGTCAACATCCAGAGTCAACAAGCATAGCGCCATAAACTGATGGCTTATTACTGTATTGTAAAAGGAACAGACCGGTATGAAAAATGTATGCACTCACTAACTGTAAGTTGGTCTGGATAAGAGCGTCTGCTAAATGACTAAAATGTAAATGTAAATATACTAAAGGATTGTGTGCTCCAGATGTACTTAATTTAGAGGAGTACCTCATCTCACCACCAGATGGTGACACATACCTGTTATTCAGAGGCCACTGGCAAACCTGAAAAAAAATCAAATTAAAATGTATTTGTCACATACACGTGTTTAGCAGATGTTATTGCGGGTGTAGCGAAATGCTTGTAACTAATGACAGGGAATCCCAAAAATGTCTGTGTTACCAGTAGGTACCTAGATCAGTATTTTCTTTAAGGTAGACATCCATACTCTCTTTTTGTTGACTGAACTTTCTATACCTCTAGATAAATTGTGTCAGTTCATCTCATTTAGTCTCTGAAACTACACATTATTTGATGTCTCTTTTCAGAAACTGACAGTATCTTCCTTCCTCAGTGTCCCAGTAAGACGTATGACCCCAGGATAAAAACCACCAAGGACTTCTCAGACGAGGTGGTAAGCTTCATCCGCTTCCACCCCCTCATGTTCCGCTCTGTCTACCCCCTGACCGGCCGGCCCTTGTTTACACGTGTACGTGTCGACTACACACTGACACAGATAGTGGTGGACCGTGTCATGGCTGAGGATGGACAGTATGAAATCATGTTTCTGGGGACAGGTGAGAGATTCCAACACACACATCCACACACATGCTCGGACGCACACTAACACACACATAATTCTGTTTTTTATGATCTAATATTGATGTGTTTGAAGGCTGTTTGAATGTTGGAGACTGTGTTCGGTTGCAATAGGTTTCTTCAGTGTATGAGTCAATGAACCCCTTATCTTTGCTCTAATGCTCAAAGCTCTACAACATCATAGTCTGTTTGGAGCCAAGTAGTCGCATTTCAGTAGAACTCTCTCACTAGAAAGTTTCCAAAAGAGAAGGACACTGTGTGCATGTGTCCATGTATGTATGTGTTTCTTATGTGTGTGTGTGTGTGTGTGTTCAGATGCTGGTTCAGTTCTGAAGGTGGTGAGCATCACTCAGGAGAACTGGTCCACTGAGGAGGTGATTTTGGAGGAGCTCCAGGTGTTCCAGGTAACAAACACACACAGAGAGTTCATTCTGTTCCCCCGAAGCCTGTTTGAACCTGATGTGAACTTTTTTAAGACAAACACTGTACTTGTTTCTCTCAAGGGGTTGTCAGCTCATCAAATAGCAGTAAAATATTAATGTCCTTCTATTCTAAACACACAGCAGTAGATCTAGGGGTACAGAGAGGAGAGTTGGTGTGTTTGTCTAGAATCACAGAGATAGAGTGAGTTCCTTTTCTCACATTGATTCACAGACTCATTGGTTGACCTCCCTAACATGAAGTCAGCTCTGTGGCAGGAAAGAGAGCTTGGTTCTTCTCAAGCAGAACTAATTAGCTAACTGCTTTACGTATTAAAGTATGAATCTGTGTATATAGGCTCCTGAGTGGCGCAGTGGTCTAAGGCACTGCATCGCAGTGCTAACTGTGTCACTAGAGATCCTGGTTCGAATCCAGGCTCTGCCGACCGCGACCGGGAGACTCATGGGCGGCGCACAATTGGCCCAGCGTCGTCCAGGGTAGGGGAGGGAATGGCCGGCCGGGATGTAGCTCAGTTGATAGAGCATGGCGTTTGCAACGCCAGGGTTGTGGGTTCGATTCCCACGGGGGGCCAGTATAAAAAAAATATGTATTCACTAACTGTAAGTCGCTCTGGATAAGAGCGTCTGCTAAATGACTAAAATGTAAAATATGTGTGTGTAGTGGATATAATGGTTACTTTCTCCTCCAGACTCCCACTCCCATCCTAAGTATGGAGATCTCTTCTAAACAGGTAAGAACACCCCTCTTCTCTGTATCCCTCCTTTCCATCTCCACCCCTCCCTACATTTCTCATATAGCTACAATATACAGTGCATTCAGGAAGTATTCAGACCCCTTAACTTTTTCCACATTTTGTTACGTTACAGCCTTATTCAAAAATGTATTAAATTGTTTATTTTCCTAATCAGTCCACACACAATACCCCATAATGACAAAGCAAAAACAGGTTTTTATAATTTTTTGCAAATGTATAAAAAATTAAAAACGGAAACATCACATTTACATAAGTATTCAGACCCTTTACTCAGTATTTATTGAAGCACCTTTGGCAGCGATTACAGCCTCAAGGCTTCTTGGGTATGACGCTACAAGCTTAGCACACCTGTATTTGGGGAGTTTCTCCCATTCGAAGCCACTCCTGCATTGTCTTGGCTGTGTGCTTAGGGTCGATGTCCTGTTGGAAGGTGAACCTTCGCCCCAGTCTGAGGTCCTGAGCACTCTCCTGAGCAGGTTTTCATCAAGTATTTCTCTGTACTTTGCTCCGTTCATCTTTCCCTCGATCCTGACTAGTCTCCCAGTCCCTGCAGCTGACAAACATCCCCACAGCATGATGCTGCCACCACCATGCTTCACCCTAGGGATGGTGCCAGGTTTCCTTCAGACATGATGCTTGGCATTCAGGCCAAAGAGTTCAATTTTGGTTTCATCAGACCAGAGAATCTTGTTTCTCATGGTCTGAGAGTCCTTTAGGCAAACTCCAAGCAGGCTGTCATGTTCTTTTTACTGAGCAGTGGCTTCCGTCTGGCCACTCTACTGTAAAGGCCTGATTGGTGGAGTGCTGTAGAGATGGTTGTCCTTCTGGAAGTTTCTCCCATCTCCACAGAGGAACTCTGGAGCTCTGTCAGAGTGACCATCGGGTTCTTGGGCACCTTCTTGATCAAGGCCCTTCTCCCCCGATTGCTCAGTTTGTCCGGGCGGCCAGCTCTAGGAAGAGTTTTGGTGGTTCCAAACTTCTTCAATTTGAGAATGATGGAGGCCACTGTGTTCTTGGGGACCTTTAATGCTGCAGACATTACGGAGCTCTACGGACAATTCCTTTGACCTCATTGCTTGGTTTTTGCTCTGACATGCACTGCCAACTGTGGGAGCTTATATAGACAGGTGTGTGCCTTTCCAAATAATGTCACATCAATTGAATTTACCACAGGTGGACTCCAATCAAATTGTAGAAAAACTCAAGGATGATCAATGAAAACAGGAAGCACTTGAGCTCAATTTCGAGTGTCATATCAAAGGGTCTGAATACTTATGTAAAAAGTTATTTCTGTTTTTTATTTTTAATAAATTAGCAAAAAAATATAAAAACTTTTCGCTTTGTCATTATGGGGTATTGTGTGTAGATTGATGAGGATTTGTTTTTATTTAATCAATTTTAGAATAAGGCTATAATTTAACAAAATGTGGAAAAAGGGAAGGGGTCTGAATACTTTTCGAATGCCCTGTATATCAGGCTCAGTGCTTCTACCTGCATCTTCCACAGCCACCTTCCCACTCGCTTTCCCTTCTGTCCCCCTCCTCCTCCCCTCTCATCCTTCCCTTGTCCCTCCCTCCCCCTCTCCTCTCCTCCCTCGTTATCTGAGGGTCCGGGATGTCAGCAGACCCTTCAACTCCAATCACAGCCTCCCTTCATCTGCCACAGCCTGTGTGTGTGTGTGTGTGTGTGTGTGTGTGTGTGTGTGTGTGTGTGTGTGTGTGTGTGTGTGTGTGTGTGTGTGTGTTTTCATCTCATCATAGCCCATCCCCCAGTGTTTTCCATGTTTCCGTTCAGAGTTTGTTTTGGAATCCCTGGTTCAGACGAGTCCCGACAGATCCATACAAAACATCTCTCTCTCTCGCTCTCTCTCTCTCTCTCTCTCTCTCTCTCTCTCTCGCGCTTTCTCTCTTTCTCTCTCGCTCTCTCTCTATCATGTGTTGTTGAAGGTTTTGTCATTTAAACAAGCTTTAGAGTTATAGGGTTGACTTCCAGTAATAATAATTGGAGGTTAGAACCCTGAGGATACTGTGCTATATACCGCTGGACATGTGGGTGTACTAAATCACACATGTGCACTCATATGGACACACACACTTTCCAAAATGGAGATCAGAAGAACAGATATATTTTACCACAATGAACCATAGTATAGTGTAAACAACAACATATAACAAGGTGATTAGTTGATTAGTTGAACCAGGTGTGCTGGACTGTACCCTTCTCTGAGGTTGTTTGTTCTCTCCATCTCTGTCTCCATAGCAACAGCTATATGTGGGTTCGGGGGCGGGGCTAGCCCAGGTGTCACTGAGCAGGTGTCACCTGTATGGTCAGGTGTGTGCAGAGTGCTGCCTCGCCAGAGACCCCTACTGTGCCTGGGATGGATACACCTGCTCACGATACATCCCTGCATCCAAGAGGTAGAGTACACACACACACACACACAAAACACACACACAAACACACACATACAGAAACACACACAAGCACGCACGCACACACAGGCATACAATGAGTGTACAAAACATTAAGAACACCTTCCTGATATTGAGTTTCACGGCCCCCCTTTTGCCCTCAGAACAGCCTCAATTCATCGGGACATGGACTCTACAAGGTGTCGAAAGCGTTCCACAGGGATGCTGGCCCTTGTTGACTCCAACGCTTCCCACAGTTGTGTCAAGTTGGCTGGATATCCTTTGGGTGGTGGACCATTCTTGATACACATGGGAAACTGTTGGGTGTGAAAAACACAGCAGCATTGCAGTTCTTGACACAAACCAGTGCGCCTGGCACCTACTACCATACCCCGTTCAAAGGCACTTAAAGTGGAACTGACAGCATTTTAGCTACTTTGCAGATATGAAACAAACACACAATCATAATATCAATATCAAATAGGTTCTATTTGCCTCAACTTTATAAGAGGTTTTGATTGTGCCAGAGCGCAGACTAACTGATGAATTTACGAACACGCAGCACCCACAGAATATGACCGACCAGTGTCAGTAAACGTAGGCAACGAAAGTAATAGTTAGTCAAGAATGCTCTAGATAACATGTAAATAGCTGACCAGCTCTGCTAGGGCGAGTAAAATGGTCAGAGTAAGGTGTTTTCTCATTTGTGTCTGGAAGTAGCTAGCTAGCATTGTTGGCAGGCAAGCTGCAGAAGGACGAGTAGGCTACAATTCCCCATCGTCTATTAGTGCAATTTTGACGGGCAACTAATTTAATACATTTGAGAGGGTTTCTCTAATGTTCCTTCGTTAGATTTTAGCTCATCTTTCTCTGGCTCGCATTAGTTGTTGATCTTTTTGTTGTTGATGTGCATAACTGAGGGAGAGAGCCTACCTTTTCATGGTTGTTTGACCAATAGGACTGTACATTTCCCAAATGTAAGATGACTCCCAATTGGTATTGACATATTTGCAGAAATCCATTCAGATGTATTTTTGGCGAATGCATATTCTCCCATATATGAATATAACATTTTGTAGCCTGAAGAACAAATAAACTATACAGGAGCATATACAACAGCTGTGCCACATTGCTATTCCTTTCATCTAAGGTATATGAACCATAGCAGGCCTCAGGATCAATAGATTACCTCTTAGTTATCCATGAAATGAGGTATATTTGTCATTTACTCTGACACGTTCATCTTTCACTGTCAGATCAGGAATGTGAAGACGTCCACAAGCATGATTTAATGAACCTGAAGAAGAGAGAAAGTTTATCTCTTACCTGACCTTGCCCTATTTTTGTCCCAATTCAGGGCTCTAGGGACTGTAATAGAGTGTTCAGATATTTTCTCTATTTTATTTTTGGTGGGCTTTTGTTTCTTCAGCGTTTCTCTGTGCCATAGGGGTATTCACCTACCTCTTTCTCTCTCTCTTAGGGCAGAAGCATTGATTAGAATCTCTCTGATGGGCTAATGATTAATGTTACTGTTACTCTCCGTTGTCCTCTTTGTGTGTGTGTGTGTCCAGAATAAGTAGCCTAGTCAGACTATAGCAGTGGCCCAAAACTCTACACATTACCTAAATCTATGGCGGATAGAGAGAGATGGTGAGAGACGGGGAGAGAGCAAAAGAGAGAAAGAAAAAATATATATAATGTATGCACTCACTAACTGTAAGTCGCTCTGGATAAGAGCGTCTGCTAAAATGACTAAAATGTAAAATGTAAATGTAGAAAACAATATAGGGAGGCATATACAGTGCCTTGCAAAAGTATTCTTCCCCCTTGGCATTTTTCCTATTTTGTTGCATTACAACCTGTAATTTAAATGGATTTTTATTTGGATTTCATGTAATGGACATACACAAAATTGTCCAAATTGGTTAAATAAAAAATTCAAAAACATTAATATCGGAAAAGTGGTGCGTGCATATGTATTCACCCCCTTTGCTATGAAGCCCCTAAATAAGATCTGGTGCAACCAATTACCTTCAGAAGTCACATAATGAGTTAGATAAAGTCACATGATCTCAGTATATATAAACCTGTTCCGAAAGGCCCCAGAGTCTGCTACACCACTAAGCAAGGGACACCACCAAGCAAGCAGCACCATGAAGAACAAGGAGCTCTCCAAACAGGTCAGGGACAAAGTTGTGGTGAAGTACAGATCAGGGTTGGGTTATAAAAAATATCCGAAACTTTGAACATCCCACGGATGGAAAGAAAGAATGGAAAGAATATGACACCACAACAAACCTGCCAAGAGAGGGCCGCCCACCAAAACTCACAGACAAGCCAAGGAGGGCATTAATCAGAGAGGCAACAAAGAAACCAAATATTTTTTATTGTCATTTAGCAGACACACTTATCCAGAGCAACTAGGGTTAAGTGCCTTGCTCAAGGGCACAGACAGATTTTTCACCTAGTCGGCTCAGGGATTAGAACCAGCAACCTTTTGGTTACTGGCACAATGCTCTTAACCACTAAGCTACCTTTCCACCCCACACAGCAGAGATTGGAGTATCTGTCCATAGGACCACTTTAAGCCGTACACTCCACAGAGCTGGGCTTTACGGAAGAGTGGCCAGAAAAAAGCCATTGCTTAAAGAAAAAATAAGCAAACACGTTTGGTGTTCGCCAAAAGGCATGTGGGAGACTCCCCAAACATCTGGAAGAAGGTACTCTGGTCAGATGAGACTAAAATTGAGCTTTTTGGCCATCAAGGAAAACGCTATGTCTGGCACAAACCCAACACCTCTCATCACCCCGAGTACACCATCCCCACAGTGAAGCATGGTGGTGGAAGCATCATGCTGTTGGGATGTTTTTCATCGGTAGGGACTGGGAAACTGGTCAGAATTGAAGGAACTATGGATAGCACTAAATACAGGGAAATTCTTGAGGGAAACCTGTTTCAGTCTTCCAGAGATTTGAGACTGGGACAGAGGTTCACCTTCCAGCAGGACAATGACCCTAAGCATACTGCTAAAGCAACACTCAAGTGTTTTAAGGGGAAACATTTAAATGTCTTGGAATGGCCTAGTCAAAGATCAGACCTCAATCCAATTGAGAATCTGTGGTATGACGTGAAGATTGCTGTACACCAGCGGAACCCATCCAAATTGAAGGAGCTGGAGCATTTTTGCCTTGAAGAATGGGCAAGAATCCCAGTGGCTAGATGTGCCAAGCTTATAGAGACATACCCCAAGAGACTTGCAGCTGTAATTGCTGCAAAAGGTGGCTCTACAAAGTATTGACTTTGGGGGGGTGAATAATTATGCACGCTCAAGTTTTCTTTTTGTCTTATTTCTTGTGTGTTTCAAATATTTTGCATCTTCAAAGTGGTAGGCATGTTGTGTAAATCAAATGATACAAACCCCCAAAAAATCCATTTTAATTCCAGGTTGTATGGCAACAAAATAGGAAAAATGCCAAAGGGGTGAATACTTTCCCAAGCCACTGTAGCTCAGGTTCAAGCTCAATTTATAGAATGTATGTGGTTGACAGTGTAAACATCCATAGATACATCCATAGCTTTCAGAGAGAGGCAGCTTTGGTATCTCTAGTCTTTGTCCAAAACACTTGAATACCTGGGTATTGGGTTCAGTGTGTTATCCAAATGTGGCTGTCTGTATTTGGGTTCAGTGTGTTATCTGTCTGTGGTTGTCAGTTGTTGGGTTCAGTGTGTTGTCCATATGTGGTTGTTGTCAGGATGTTCAGTATGTTAGACAGATTTAACAGGGTTATCATGACAGACAGAGCAGCTTAAATCACAGCCTGAAGTAACTCCTGTTACCTATAATAGAAACCCCTGGAAAACAGCAACTCAGGACACACACAGGCACCATTTTGTGTGAGCGTTTAGAAGAGTAAAATGTTGCCCCTGGTCTTGCTGTAGGCTAACTGCAATGAACTCACCTCACACTGAAGAATTTATGTATGCAGCCAAACATTACCTTGACAGCAGGACGTGACCTTATTACCTTTATTTACCTTTCACCCCGACCCTGTGGCATGTGTGTGTGGGTTTATGTATGCATTTTGGATTGACAGGAGAGCAAGGAGACAAGACATTAAACATGGCGACCCTTCCAGCCAGTGTTGGGACACAGATGACAGTAAGTGATAACACAACATATGCTTCCCTCTCGTGTGTGTTGCTCAGCCAATCCCGATATAACATGTTAACACTTCATGAATTTATTTCTGTGTTCTCAGCTCTGCATGGAGGCAGGGTGGAGGAGAGGATCATGTTTGGGGTGGAGAATAACTCGACCTTCCTGGAGTGTCTCCCCAAATCACAACAGGCCACCATACGCTGGTTCATACACAGACCTGGAGCTGAACACAGAGAAGAGGTGAGACAGCACGCACACAAGCAAACACACACACAGGGATTCAAACTTTTCGGCAATAGTCGTCATTTTGATCTCAAAATAGACCATCCACATGAATTGTGTACACAGTACATGTTGCAGCGATAAATCAACACTTAAAGAGTTCATTTTAACACTACTTCAGATAAAATATGGTCCCACTCTACAGAGTGTAGAAAGTACTCTGATTATGGTGTTACATTTTGAGTGTTAATGTAATACTTCGTAGTTTACAGTTTTTTCCAACTGCTTACACACGTTTTCAAAACGTTCTCCTTTTTTCAAAACTCTACACACAATTCCCAAAACTGCACACACAAAATGCAAAATGCCTCACGTCTCCTTCAAAATGTAACACTGCATTCAAAATGCCATAAACACATGTCAGAATGAAGCATTTGCATTAAATGGCAAACACTTCTTTCATAATAGCACATTTTTGGATATACCATGTAAACACTGTTGTTCTCAATCTAAAGCTCTTGGTCTTTCATAGGCTTATATCTACATTTCAATACAATGTTCTACAGTGAAAGTAATCTGCTGAGAGGGGTAACAAGTACACTGTAAACACCAATGCAATGTAGAATCAGAAAATATTTATTAGGCCAAACATTACTGTTGTATACAGTAGCATACAACAAAACCATAAACATATGTAAACCAAAAGTATATTCTTTAGAATACAGTAAAGAACACAATTGTGTGTGTGGGGTCCCGGGGGGGCAGTCCAGGAATTGGTAGGGGGGGGGGGGGTCACCAGTGCTAAGCTACGCTTCATCTCTTCTCCGGGCTGGGTCTGGCCACAATACTTCGTCCACATCACAAGATACGTTTTCTCTTGCCAAACATCGAGGGAAGTATCTCCTAGCATGGCGTATCCAACCTTGGACAGAGGCAACCTCTATGTCCCCACATGCGTCCTCCATTGCCTGGAGAAGTGGCATGCGGGCATAGGGTTGGCGATCATACACTTTCCAGCGCCAGGCTGAGAAGAATTCCTCTATGGGATTTAGAAAAGGTGAATATGGGGTTAGGTACAAAACTACAAATTGTGGATGGGTGGCAAACCAATTTTGGACCAGAACAGCCCGGTGAAAACTAACATTGTACCTCTACAAAGTCATGTCGCAGATTCTTGACTCTGTCAGAGTTTCTCTCAAATGGCACCTTGTAAAGTTGTTTCATCGTCACTTGGTGCCGTTGGAGGATGCGTTGTATGGTCGACAGGCTTACAGCAATGATGTTGTTAAATATGGTGTCATTATTGAAGATATACTCTCTTATCTCTCAAATCCTAATTGCATTGTTGGCCAAAACCATATTTATAATAGCAGTCTCTTGTACATCTGTAAACAAGCGTCCTCGTCCTCCATGATGTCTTTGCCTTTCCATTACATTACATTTACATTTAAGTCATTTAGCAGACGCTCTTATCCAGAGCGACTTACAGTTAGTGAGTGCATCAATTTTTCATACTTTATGCAATACTATGCAGTCAGACGTATTTTACAGTACATTACTGTAATGCTAAAATAGTAATTAGATAGTTGCATACCTGTTCTAATTATGGACTCCACTGTAAATCAACTCAAGTTGGGCTGGACTCTCAGTCCAGCCTCTCTCACGGTCAAACCGTGGTTGATCACATGATCAACAAGTGTTGCCCTAATCTCATCAGAGATAGCTCTCCTTCCTTCTCTTCTTTGCCCTCGTCTTCCAACTCTTCATCTTTGACTTTGTCCTCGTTGTTGTCCCCTGCCTCTCCCTCCTACTCCTCTTGCTCTCTGTCCATTGTTGGCATCCATTGTTCAAAAACAGGTAATCTGACCTTTGACCTATTTATAGGCCTATAATACAGTAAAGCAGTGATTGGTTAGTGATCAGTTAAGTAATTAGTGTTTGCACATGTGAGGAGTGTGTGTGTGACCTGGTGAATAAGTGTAGCATTTTGATTGGTTGTGTTTGGAAAAGGAAAGCAAGTCACTTCCTATTAGATTTTTGTGTTTTAGGTAGAGAATTGTGTGTAGCGTTTTGAAAAAAGTGTTTTATGCAATTGACAACTTGAGTCAAAGGCTGAGAAATAGCTTATGGTTTTGGAGATTTGGTGTGTAGTTTTGCACTTTGAGTGAGAGGTTTCAAAAATTGTGTGACATGATAAGATTTTGTGTGTAAGCGGTTGGAAAAAACTGTTAAAAAAATAACACTGCTTTACGTTTGCCAGTGTTTCTCAAATTTATCGCTATGGGGTAATTAACACTCACAGTGTTATTTCTATTCAACACTAGCGTTAATCTAGAGCTAACTCCTATTAGTGTTATGCAAAAACACTGTTACAGTGAGTGATTTGAGGTGTTTTAACACTATATGGTGAAAAGCCTAATTTGCATATTTCCCATGGTGCCGTTTCTTTTCAAGTGAATTGTAGGGTTACCACCCATGACTGTATTTGTTAGTGACAGAGACATGGTTGTTGAATTCGTTCCTTTTAAAGTCATGTTGCTTTCGCCACATGAGTACCTATGCACATGTTATCATACCTTTTTTGACTTTATGAAGCTGTTGGCGTAGTTTTACCCTAACAGTGGTTTTAGGAACAACCTGGTTTTTACAAATTACAGGCCACATCAGGCCTGCAAATCACATGATACTGGCTGGCAAACTGATGTGTAGTTCCTTTTGGAATCCAGCCAGAGTTAAGATATCCAACAGTTTGAATTTTTATTCACCTCGCTATCTGCATTCAGAATGGATACCAGGATTAGGAACTCAGGTTAAGGAGACTACCTAAACCATTTAAACCGGAACAACCATTTCAGTAACGGGTGCAATAAATGTAACTAACTGGTTGGATTTATTTAGAAAAATATATGTTATTTATCTTTGTGTAGCATAAGATTAATCATTTGATCAATGTACATGCAAAAACACAGATATTAAAATACCCCCCCCAAAAAAAAGAAAATACCTGCATAGAATGCTGGGAAATATGGTAATGATGGGTGTGGTTTTGATGGGACTGTTTTTCTCTCCACAGTATAAAACAATAACTCTGGTTATTAACACCAACACTGTGGTTATTTTACACCACTGAATGTTAATTTCACTCTAACAGAGTGAATGTAACTCCTGAATCAATAAAATAATCAACACTGGCCAATTTGCTGTGTAGATCCGAAGGTTCATATCGAAATCATTGGCTGAGCGTCTGGACTGAGCACAGAAGGTTAAATGTATTGAACTTATTAGAAAAGTAGTTAAATTGCACTTGTTTCTCATAATTCATGAAAATAATGCATCAGTGATTTGTATTTCCTGCAACTTTCTGAAGAATAACGTCTGTTTCTGTGCGCCTGTGTCTTATTGTGTAGCCAGTTAGCATGCCTAAACAGTCATTTCTAAAGGCTTTCCCAATAAACCTTCCCAACGAAATGTTGATTGCAAAGTAGGCCTACCTGGCAGAATGATATCATAATGATTTGTATCAATTGGGTGGGTATTTTTTTAGCAAACTCTCCCATCACATTAAACACCACTACAAGAACCCCTACATAAACACCGCTAGCGAAACACAATGGTCTCTTGTTAGTGTGCAATTTAATTAAAAGCAACTACCCCCCCCCCCCCCCCCCCCCCCCAAATAAATGTTATTTGTATTTTCCACAGACCTCAAAAGTGGTCTCCTAATGTGGTCGAAGCATTGTTGTGGACATAGGACTTCCAATTGTGTTGATTTTCTATTTAAAAAAGTGTGATTTTGAGAGTGAGAACCTGAAAAAAAGATTTTATAGTGCCCTCCCACTGAGCACAGACGTCAATTCAACGTCAATTCCACATTGGTTCAACCTAATTTTGTTGAAATGACGTGGAAACAACATTGATTTAGTGTGTGCCCAGTGGGCTATGTATTCCTGTGTGGGGAGACTATCATTACATGTCATGATAAACCTTGAACACAGACCAAAGAGCCCAACTCCCTCTGGAACTATTTTCTCTGTCTATTGTGGTTTGGAAAGTTAGGAGTATTGAGATTAATAAAATGTGTATTACGTACTTATTCTCTGAAAATATACTCATTTTTTCTTGCACTTTACACTGTGTTTCCGTGAGGAAATGTTTTTCTTGCCTTTTTTGGGTCCTCACCCTTTTGCCTCCCTGCACACACACACAGCTTGTAAAGAGGGATCAGGTCAGGGAAGAAGTTAATCTTGTGCTATCAGAGGCTTACAGTACTAGCAGTAGTACAGAGGTTAGTTGTAAGTCATCATGTCCCATGGCTGAAAAACAGACATTTTAACTGCTTAAAACAGACACTTGCTGTTACATCATGTACCCTTACATAACAGCAAAACAACACAACCAACCAAAACAACCTGGAGGGGTGCTTCGATGTTCTAGATCAGCAATCTTTGCAAGAAAAGTAACATTTTAGCAGAGAGAAAACATTTACATTTTAGAGTTAATTTCCTGCAATTCTACACATTTTGCCATGGGGCATAGAGAAAACGATGCTTTGAGTTAATTATACACATTTTACCATGGGGCAGAGATAAAATTCTGCAATTTTATAACTAATTTCATGTAATTCTCCACATTCTGCCATAGGGTGGAGAGAAATGTTTGCAGTTTTTAAGTTAATTTCCTGCAATTCTACACATTTTGTCCTGATTTATGCCATTTTTACATTTTAGTCATTTAGCAGAAACTCTTATCCAGAGCGACTTACAGCAGCAATAGAGTACCACAGTATGAGTCATAATACCCATAAAACCTAGCGGTCAAACAGGGAAATGGTTCCAATCGTTTATCTTTTTCCACCATTCATTTTTCCCATAGGGGATTTTAGAAACACTTAAAATAAGGGCTGTGTTTCGTGTAGGCTTACCCTGGCGTTGTGTTTTGATAACCCTGTAAATCTCTCTAGGACAAGGTGACATTTATCAATATATTTGCCTGTATTTACCCCCCAAAATGAAATG